TTTTGTTCCACACGTTTTCCAATATCTTGAGTTTGGTTCGAACGTTTCGAGATTTGTTCCAAACGTGTCCCAACACCTGTCCACACGTTTGAACTCTTTTTCAAAGTGTCCCTGGACACTTGGTTGTCTGGTCGAACTCGTGCTTCTCTTGGCTTCCAGACGCGAGCTTCTGACTGCGCCTCCCCCCGAACCCCTGGAGTGCCCGCCCGTGTCCCCCGGAATGACTCGAGCTCTTCACTCCTTCCAGGAGTGACCGCCGGTGCACCCCCCAGCCATCTGCAAGTCTCGCCACGGCTGCGCTTGGTTGGAGGCCACGGCGTCAGGGCCGCTCGGGCGGACAGAACCAAAGGGGACGTATGCTCGCGGGGGAGGACGGCAGGCCACGTGGCCCCGACCGTGCCGCCGCCGCGGGCCCGGCGGGCACGCGAGAGGCGCGCGCCTCCTCACCCCAAGTGTTTGTTGCCCCCGTCCCCCCGTTGGCGAACGCCCGAACCGCGCTTCGAAGGAAGGGGGTACACGTAGAGCGAGCGGCTTGAATAAGGAACACTTACTTTCCAAAAGGGGCTCGGTCGTTCCTTAGGCTTGCATGCGTTAATTATTGTTCCTTACGCGTTATGTATTATTTATCGTTCCTTGTGCGTTATCCCCTGGAAAAAAGGGGTTTCGTTCCTTGTTTATCTTTCCTTAGGTCAGGCCGATGGTTGTAGTCTCTGGAGACGGCGCGGCCTCTGGCTCAGTGAGTGTGTGTGTGTATGTTCGGGAGGAAGGAGGCGCGCTCCGCAGCGGCTTGCCGCTTGCCTTCCGGCCATGCTGCCCCCAACCCAGAGAGAGGGGGGGGGGGGACCCTGGGGTGCACCCCAATTGTTAAGAGGGGGTTGTCCGGACGTACCCCCATCGAGGATGGACGCGCCCTCCTCGTATATCCCAGTGTCGGGGCCCCCGATTCCTGGCCCACCCGAAGGCTGTTCGGACGCACCCCCATCGAGGATGGACGTGCCCTCGTCGTATATCCCAGGGTTGGGCCCCCCATTCCTGGCCCCTTTCCCCGACCCCCGACGTCGCGTTTTTGGCGTGACCCCCAGAAGTCTGGACCCCTTCCCGGGGACCCGTTCTTACCCTCCATCGTTCTGTTGACGGCCCCGGGGCCCCTTGAAGTCGGGGGCGGAAAAGAGGGGGGTGATGACTGGGGGGGGTGGATATCATGGCGGGGGCCATGATATCTCCCCAGATTTCGTGGCGCCTCTTCTTATTTCATTACGTCCCTGGCCCCCCCGCTGGGCCGCGCACATGCCGCCAGTCATGATTTGCACACACCCCTCTTGGACACCCCCCTCTTGGCCGCTCCCGATGAAGGGCCCCCCCGGAGACCGACGACGGCGGAAAACCTCCCGCTGTGGTCGTTCTCGACTCGAGGGGGTCTGGCTTGGGCCCCCAAATTTCTCAGAGGAGGAAAAGGTACCCATACCTCTACCCTTCGCCCGTTTTCCCCTTTTTGGGCCTCTTGGGAAGCCCTCGTCGCCACCGTTGGATTCGCCTTGAAATTCTGGTCAGAACGCACCCCGGGAGAGGTCCGGGGAGTAGCGGTATCGGTACCTGTTGGTTTCCCCAATGTCTGGCGAATTTCCGTAAGCCCCACGAGCCCTGGGATCGGGGTCAACATATCCCCTGTCAGAGGGGGGGGGGAGGGGCAGGCCCTTCCGACAGGCGGCCGGGCGCTCCTCAGAGGCCCTCCGGCCTTCTGCTGAGGAGCCCCACTGTGGCTTCGGAGGATGCTCAGAGAGCCTCCCCGGGAGCTGCAGGAGGATAGGCCTTTTCCCAGAGGCCCTCGGGTCATGAAAGAATCACGACGGGAGGTTGTTGCTACTTTCGGCCTCCGGAGGCCCTTCCCGGGGCCTCGCGACCGTCCAAAGCCGACTCGGGATGAGAAGCCGTTCCCCGGGGAAGGGGTCCAGGCTCCCCTGGGGGTCACGTCCAGGAAAATGCATGACGTCGGGGTCTGGTCGGCGTCACCCCAACATAATCATACTATGTTTAAGTCGGGCATGTCCCTCTACAGGGGGCTATTGAAAAATAGGACAGAAAATTGTCTGGGGACCATTTTTTTTTTAAATTATTTTTGACAATTTTTGAGTATTCGTTGTGTATTTTTTATTTTTCGTCGAATGTCCCCCTGTAGGGGGACACGCCCGACTTAATACTATGTGTGCGTCGCCCCCTCTAGGGCCCCTACAGGGGGGCCGCGCGCGCACCGAGAGCTCTTACAGTACATGCGTCGTGGCGGGCGCCCTCTGGCCACACCGCTCGGGAAGCGATCTGCTACAAGATTGGTATACCATACGTGTTCGGGTCGGACGCGCGCCCCCAAGGAGGACATCTATAGTACCAGTATGTTTCTGTGCGTCCCATCTGGATTGCGAGGGCCTGACGGCCGGTGCCGCCGACCCTGAAGAGGACCACGACGTCGGCGACGAAGTGGGCGGAGACGGAGGCCGTGGGAGCTGAGGAAGAGGAGGGGGCGAGGAGGAGGGGGAGGAGGGGGAGGAGGAGGAGGAAGAAGAGGAGGAGGAGGAGGAGGAGGAGGGAGGAGGAGGAGGGAGCAGAGGACGAGGAGGCAGGAGGACCGGAGGCGAGGAGGAGAGCAGGATGCGAGGAGACAGGAGGAGGAGGGAGGCAGCAGGAGGAAGGAGGCCGCAGGGAGAGAGGAGGAGGAGGGAGGAGGAGGCAGAGAGGAGGAGGAGGAGGATGATGGAGGGAGGAGCGTGGAGATGGGGGTGGGAGTAGGAGGGGGATGTGCGTCCCCCATACTGGACCTTGGCGACCGGAGAGCGGCGGGCCACCCCTTATGCCACTACACGGCCGCACACGGCGCAGCTGCCTCTCGCCCTCCCCCTGCAGACCCCCCCTTGAGTATTGAGAAGGCCAACCTGCCGCGAGAGTTCTGGCCCAATGTTCTAAACTTGGTGGGCCATAGACTGGCCCTCCACCTCATCCTCCCTACCCCCCTACTACCCTAAATCAATAGAATTACTTCTTACTACTCCTCATTCCCCCCTCAAGAGCAGTCTCACATTGTCCTCATCGCCTCCTCATGAACTCTTCCTGCTCTCCCTCCTCATCCTCCCTCCCTCCCTCCCTCCTCCTACCTCCTCCTCCTCCAGTTTCTCCTCTCCCTCACCTCACTCCCTTCCTCCACCACTCCATATCCCCTCCTCCTCCTCCCCCTCCTCTCCTCTCCCTCCTCCTCCCTCCTCCTCCTCATCCCTCCTCCTCTCCCTCCTCCTCCTTGTCCTACTGATCCCTCCTGTCAGTCTGCTCCTCCTCCTCATCCTCCCTCCCTCACGCCTCCTCCTCCTCCTCTCAGCTTCTTCTCCTCCTCCTCCCTCCTCCTCTCCTCCCCCATCCTCCTCCTCCTTCCTCACCCTACACCTCCTCCCCTCCTCCTCCTCATCCTCCTCCTCCTCCTCTTTTCCTCCTCCTCCTCTTTTCCTCCTCCTGGGGCCGTCAGGAAACGACAAGATGGAAATCCGGCCCCAGGGAATGGGAGGGGGAACCCGTATATCGAAAAACCCATGGCGTCGGGGGCCTGGCTGGGTCTGTCCCGACACCCAGACCCCGGCGTCCGTTTCAGACTCCCTCGCGCTGCGGAAAGATCATGGCGGGAGGCTTTTTTCGCAGCGTTTGGCCTCCGGGGGTCCTGGTCACAGGCCTCGGGACCGTCAGAAACGACTCAGGATGAAGGACGGGTCCCCGGGCAGGGGATGAAAGACCTGTCCCCTTGTAGGGGTCCAGACTTCTGGGGCTCACGTGCTGAAGAAAAGCCACGACTTCGGGAGCCTGGGGCTGCCGATCCGAGGTCCGATATCCCCGATTCGGCACCGGACTCGGCCGGCAGAGACCCATTCGATCTCTATGTTCCGCCGGTCCGCGGCGCTCCCGTGCCCCGACCCCCAACATGATTTTGTCATAGCGTCGACCCTCGGGCCGGACGAAAGGGGGGGATTGGGAAAGGGGAGTTTTTACGAAATCTGCTGCATGCATTTGGCTTCGGCCCCACCGAGGGGCCCATTCCTCGATACATGGGCGCCTCCCGGCGTGAAAATCAGCTACGTGAGCTGATTCTCAAACCCCCCCTTTGCTATGCCCCCCTTTCGCCCGACCCGATGCTCGACCTATTCCCCAGGACCGGTTTTTCATCCTGAGTCGTTCCTTGACGGCCCCGAGGCCAGGTGATGGCCCCCAGAGGCCGAGACAGCGGAGAGCCTCCCGTCCTGATTGTGATTGTCTTTTATTCCTTGTTTTGCCGATCGGCGCTGGCCACTCCCCCCCCATGGAGTAGATCTCGGCTGTTTTGGGGCGCCTGTTTCGAGCAGGTGGATTCCCCCCCATAGGACGCACGGTTCCAAACAGCCGCACCAAGCAGAGGTCCCGAGCCAGACCCGCCCCCGCCTCCCCCCCTCCTTCTGCCCAATGTCGAAACGGAACGCCGATTCAGACAACGCTCACATTTTTTCAGGACTCGAGGGGGTCTGGGTGGTCTGCAGGGCTCGGCCTCGCTTCCTGGCGCGCCGCTCGGGCCGCTCCGCTGTCGGCGCCATGCAGGGGAGGGGGGCGGGCCGCCACCACCGTGCGCTCTCCGCCGCGAGATCCGGCCTGGAGCGGCTCGTGCTGGCGGCCCCTCCCGCCGCACAGCCGTTTCGGCCCCAGCGGCTCGAAGAAGGCCGCCGCCAGAACCAGCCGGCACGCCCGACGGGCCGATTTCCCACCACCACGATTGTAGGTGGGATCAAGGGTGGAGGAGGAGGAGGGGGAGGAGGAGGAGGAGGAAGAGGAGGAGGAGGAGGAGGACCTCGCAATCCTCCCTCCTCCCCGGTCCTGCCCATGGTCGCGGTGGTGGACAATCGGCCCGGCAGCGCCTGCGCCAGCCCAGCGGCGGCCTGCTGCGGCCGCCGCGGCGCGTGGGCGCGCGCACCGCGCGCGCGCGCCGCCGCAGCGCCGGCAGG